TTATAGTATCATGGGTTACATGACACTGTGATAATATGCTTTGACTTTTGTCATTCTTTCTCTTTAGGAGAGAACATAGCGGGCCTGGCTGCTGGATCTAGAATTCAGTCATTGCAGGGCATCAGTTGTCAGGCAGTCTTTTGATCCTTAATCACGTCTGGAGTTAAGTTAAGGTGGGGAATATCAAATATCACTTGTAGCATCATTGGTTACATGACACGCATGAATCGAGAAGAGAGGAGCCTCATGCGTGTTATGTAGCCAATGATGCTACAAGTGATATTCCCCATGCACTATTTTTATTTTTTATTTTTTGGTTAATGAACTACATCGCAAACGAAACGAAAATGGGTTCCGAGTCTTCCGACTACCGGCAGGTCACTCATGCGCTATGTTTTTTTTTTGTTTCTTTTTTTTGGAAAGATGGGAACTTTTAATTTCAAAATGCATAGGAGAGGCCGGGGACCTCACAATTCAACCCAGAACCTCATGCGCTATGTTCGAAAAGGCAATAAAAAAAGCGGTGCGGCACTTTCTAATGCGCGCGGATGTGGGCGCGGCACCTCCTAATAAGCGCGCGCGGATGTGGGCGTGGCACTTTCTAATCAGTGTGGATGTGGTTAACTACAGAGGCAGGGAAGCCGCCCGTGGTGTGCAGAGGGCCTGAGTTCAAAAACGGTAAAAACGCATTACCCTTACTTCGGCTTTTTTTGCGAATTCCAAACTCCCGCCCCCACAAAACTGCATTTAGTGTTTTCTTTGGCCTATTTTAAACTCAAACCTTCACTGAGAAGTAGTTGTTTCAATCGAGAAATTGGGGGGTAAGGGGGGGGAGGAGGGGGGGGGGGAGGGGGGAACACCAAAACACAAAAGAACTCACATGTGGAATCTGAGACTCCACAAAGAAGCGGTTCTTCTGCAGCACCAGCTTCACTTTGCCATAATTCGTTGTTGATTGCCGGATGAACTCCACGATATCATGAGGAAGCTTTGCCTTGGAGAGTCGGTCAAGAACGGAGATGATGGTGTTGGTCTCCAGCCCAATGGATACCGCAGCGTACAGAGAGTGCGGAGTGAGATTATACTCATGAATCAGCTCTGGCCTAACCATTAAAAAAAAAAAAAAAAAAAAAAAAAAAAAAAAAAATCAACATACCCACAAACCGACATACAGCACAGCGTCAGCAAAAACCATCTCAACCGTTGCCTCTCCTTCAACCACGAAATCGATATGATCTGCAAGCAGTGCATATGGATGGCTGCATGACTGAATTAGAGTAGGGAGGATGGCTGCATCAATATGAATTGGGGTATTGAGGATGGCTGCATCAAAATGGATTGGGGTATTGAGGATGGCTCCATGGGTGAATGGGGGGTGAATGGGGGAATGGGTGTATGGAGGACGGCTGCATGAATGAATTGGTGTATGGAGGATGCATGTCCAATCCACGAATCGAACACAACCTACGGCTTGTCAGGCAAACACCTA